AATGCTAATTAACAGATTAAAACTCAAATTAACAGAAATTGTATAGCTGTCAAAATTGTAAGCTATACAATTTCTGTTAATCTTCTATGGAAATTGTTAATTAACAGTTTTAAGCTCTACAGTTTTAATCTATTAATTAACATATTTCTGTCAAAATTAACAGTTTTAATATGTGTTCAAAATTTCTGTCCAAAATCTGTTAATTAATAGATTATAACAATTTACAGTTTGGACAGTTCAAATCTGTTAAATTGTTTGGGAATCTGTATATTGTTTGGGAATGCTAATCTGTTAATTAACAGTCCAAAATCTGTATATTGTTAATTAACAGATAATATGACAGTCCAAATCTGTTAAATTGTTATAAATTGTCAATCTAATTTTGGACAGATTTTGGGTTAATCTGGTAACTTGCATTGTCAGAAATTGTTATAATCTGTTATATTCTTTTGAAAGGGTAATATGTTATAATTTATTCAAGAGCTTGCATTGTTAATCTGTGTGTATATGTGTAAGTATAACAGAGTAATAACATAATAGCTTGGTTCTATTATTCTATTAAATCATTTGATTTCATATGGTATTTTTGAATGAGCAGAAATGGAGATTGGTTCGAACAGTGCTGAGAATCCTTTATTAAATGAGAGTGAAGCAGTTGAGGAACCGAAGAGGGGTATGTGTTTTAGCTCAAAGCAAGAAGTGTATTCATTTTATGCCAAATATGCTAAACATGTTGGATTTTCCATAGCTTATAAAACTCAAGTTTGTGGCGATGATGGGGAATTAAGATATTTAGGGATTGAATGTTCTCGATCAGGAAAGAGAATCAGAAAATCAGATGTAAACCCTCTAAAGCCATCTTTGTCTACAAAAATTGATTGTAAAGCAAGGGTACGGGCAACCTTACAAAAGGATGGGAGATTTATGTTAACCACAGTTAACCTTGACCATAACCATGACTTGATTCCCACCGACTCACGTCATTTTGCAATGAATAAGAAAATTCTTACTCTTGTGAAGAGAAGATTAGAAATTAATGATCAACCAGGGATTGGGGTGTCTAGAAATTATCACTCAATGGTTGTTGAAGCTAGGGGTTATGAGTCGCTAACATTTGATGAGCGAGATGCACGAAATTACATTGACAGAGCTAGAAAATTGAGGCTTGGAGAAGGAGATTCCGATGCACTTCAAAAATATTTTTTGAGGATGCATGCACAAAATTCGAGTTTCTATTATGTGATTGATGTTGATACTGACTTTCACATAAGAAACTTGTTTTGGGCAGATGCAATGAGTCGGGCGGCTTATAAAGAATTTGGAGATGTTATTTCATTTGACACAACTTGTAACGCCCTCAAAATATTAACAATAAACCCATCAACTAAGACATTCATTGATATAAGAAATAACCACATTCTTTTATACATTAGAGTTTCATTACAAAAGTATTACATGTTAACAACAAAAGCAAATGCCCTATGGGCTTACAGCTTTCCAAGTTAACACTTGGTTACAACAAAAGAGTACTAACTCGTTTACACATTAAGCCCTTGGCTTGAAATTACATGTAATACATCAAAAATAAAGCGACAAAAGTTTGTCCACCACTAGCCTCCCAAGCTAAGTCCTTGGAGGTGGCATGCTACCTGTACCTGAAAATGATATTCCCATATAGGGTGAGCCACAGCCCAGTAGAAATACACTAAACCAACCATGAACAATGACTAAAAGATTAGCAATTGATAGATGGCCAACACTGATACATTCACATAAATTACACATTTATGCCATACGACTTTTGAGTCCAAGTTACTTTTCATTTTCCCTTTTTCACCCGATAAGCATGTTAGCTCTATCATTATTTCAACAGATATGTATAACAACAATATCCCACATTCACAGATAAGCATATAAGCTGTATCCACATTCTCAACAGATATGTATAACAACAATATCCCATATTCACAGATAAGCATATAAGCTGTATCCACACTTCACAAAGATAAGCATACAAGCTCTATCTTCACTTCTCTAGACAAGCATATGAGCTGTATCTACGGAGTTCATCCCCTATCTTCTCCCAACACTATCCGGTTTAGAGGTACATCTCCTATCTTCCCCTAAACCGTGGAGTACAACCCCCATCTCCTCCTCTACACACAACGTATATAAACACATTGGTTCTATATACAATCACTCAATACATACAGTTAATGTATTCTATCAACCGTCAATTCCATGACACATTCCATTGATTAGTTTCTGTTTGCCTAATCATCATGCATTGTCTACAACAATCACGACTATCCTCTACCGATAGCCCAAAGCAGTTATTTCTAAACAGGAAATAAATGCACAATGGATTTTCAATCAACATTTCAATTCGGTGTGTGATAAACAATTCAACTACACCCTATAACCCCATACATTCCCAATCTCTACAATTCCATTTCATTTCCTCATTTCTCACAATTAATTATCTCAATTAATCAATCAATGTAATTAGGTCATTTTCCATAATTACCATTTCAACCCTTAGGTCCCATTTTCATTAATGAATCAACATTCATTTCATTTCTCAATGCCAAACATGCATCTAGGTTTATTATGAATAAAACCCCAACTTTTGTAAAATAGCACAAAAGCCCCAAACTTTCACCAAAGTACCAAACCAACCCCAACATCTCAAAATACCAAAATTTAAAGACAAAATCCATAGAGAGGAGTAGGATATCCCTACCTCACATTTTCGGAGCTCCAAAGGAGAAGACTGACAGAAACCCAACGTGCTCAAAACCGAAATTTTCAGATTAAAGAATAGCCCATCACGATCACACTATTTGTAAAGGCCAATGATGAGCAAATCAGACTCCTACTAATCAAAACTAGAGAGAAAGGTAGAGTTCTAGAGGAGAGCTCAACAATGGTGTTTTTGGAAAAGTAGGAGAAGATAAGAGAAGTGAAAAAGTGATTTGAAAAGTCAAAACACGGAACTTAAATCCAGCCGACCCGCTCGAGCGTAAAAAACACCCCGGCTCGAGCGTCACTCACAGACTCCCGCTCGAGCGTCAACAATCCCGCTCGAGCGGCGGATACACACTCCCAGAACTTTTACAGAGCCAGGTCTCCGCTCGAGCTTCCAACTCCCCGCTCGAGCGGCACTCACACAACCCCGCTCGAGCGGCCAACTCCACGCTCGAGCGTCCAACGCTGCACAGGAAATACTGGATGGGTGCAATTCCCGCTCGAGCGCCAAAACCCCCGCTCGAGCGGACAGGTCAAAATCTGGGCAACTAGTTTTGGTTTCTAAACTCAACCAACCTGTAACAAACCTGCCCAACACATCCTATAACTCAAATACAAAGTAAGAAAGGATGTAAACAAGATAATAATCAACTACCAACATCCACGGACACATGTCCGGATCACTGTTCAACAAGGGTAAACCCGGGATCGCTATACAACTTGCCTCACTAATAAATATGATATGCCATTTGCTCCATTTGTAGGAGTTAACCACCATGGACAGTCGATTTTGCTTGGTTGTGGCCTGTTATCTAGTGAAGACACTGATACATTTGTTTGCTATTCAAATCATGGTTAAATTGCAGGTCAGATCATTCCCCAAAAGCTATAATAACTGATCAGTGCAAAACTATGCAAAATGTGATAGAAATTGTCTTCCCCAATACTCGACATCGATGGTGTTTATGGCATATCATGAAGAAAATTCCGGAGAAATTGAAAGGGTATTCCCAATATGAATCCATGAAGATGGATTTGCAAAATGCAGTGTATGACACATTCACAAAAGATGAATTCGAGATGAAATGGAAAGACATGATTGCAAAATTCAATCTTTATGAGAATCAATGGTTGGGGGTGTTACATGATGAGCGACATCGATGGGTTCCTGTTTATGTCAAAGATATTTTTTGGGCTGGCATGTCAACGATACAATGAAGTGAGAGTATGGATGCCTTTTTTGATGGATATGTCAACCCAAAGACTACATTAAAATAATTTGTTGAACAATATGACAATGCCTTGAGAAGTAAGGTAGAGAAAGAGAAGAAAGCTGACTTCAAGTCTCGGCACAAAGTCTTCGATTGCCTAACTGTGTATGGTTTTGAGAAGCAATTTCAGGATGCCTACACCAATACAAAATTCAAAGAAGTTCAAGCAGAGATGAAAAGACTAGTTTATTGTCAGCCATTTCTTGTCAAAGAAGAGGGTTCAATTTGTACATATTTTGTAAAGGAAGCTATGGTAGTTTTTGGGAAGATGAAGCATGTGGACTTTGTTGTCTATTATAATTCCACCGAATTTGATGTGCAATGTATGTGCCGGTTGTTTGAATTTAGAGGCATCATGTGTGCTCACTCACTCGTTGTGCTCATTGCAAGATGCATAAATGAGGTCCCAAATAAATACATTCTACCACGATGGCGAAAAGATTTGGATAGAGGATACACATGCATGAAAACCATATACACTGGCTTTGGGGATGATTTCAATGCAAAGGTATATGAGAAGATGAACAGAAAATTGGTTATCATTGCACAATTTGCTGGGAACTGTGAAGGGAAAATAAAACTTATCGACCGTGGGTTGGATGAAATCAAGGCAAAAGTGATGAAAGATGATGAAGGTGGTGGGAGTAATGTAGCACCTTCGACTAGTAATGTACCACCTATTACTAGTAATGTACCATCTTCCCCAATTGCCAGCATTAATAGAAAGGCAATAAGTCATACCAAGTTGCTTAGTCCTTTGGTTGCTCGGCGAAAAGGTCGTCCAGTTACTAAAAGAAAGGTTGCCAAAGTAGATCAAATAGTGAATCGGTTGAAGGCAAGCAAAAGAAAACATAACAAATCAAAGGTAAATTGGTATTCATTACTCTCTATTCAACTCATATTTTATTGTAATCATGTCATACATTTGAGGCATTCATTAACTTTTATGAATATAGGGTACTAAGGTGCTTGGAGGTGAAGGTGAAGGTCAATGTCAATCTCAACCTAAACGTAGTGTACGTAGAGAGGTTTATACTTATGTGGTTGGCATGGAAAATAGTATGTGTGTGCCGGTACGTGTACATCATAGGAATTTACATTGAGCAATTTATGTTATTTTCCAATTTATTTTAACATTTCATTTTAATTGAATAGGGACACATGGTCAATGCTATTGGAGGCACATCTCTCACCCCGGCAAGTGTGGACATTATGAGCAGACAAAGTTTCATAAATCCCCCAACTCAGATTTATGGAGTTGGCACATCGCTTACCCCGTCGGACTGTATTGGAGGCACCCCGGGATTTATGAGATCTCAACAATCCATGACTGTTACGCATCAAATTTATGGAGCCGTACCATCTTCATTTGTTAACTTCAATGTACAAATGAGCCATAATGACTGTGGCGGTAGTTTTCGTTAGGTGGAAACTTGTAATTGTAATGCCTTTTATGTGGCTAAAGTTGGAGTTTATTTTGTTTTGGATAATTTATTTAATATATTTTTGGATTGTTCAGTTTCTTTATTTTTTGGTTGAGAACAAATTGATGTTGTTCCCTACTTTGTTGTTATAGTTAATGTTCCCAATTGATGTTATATTTGTGCTCTGTCTGTTCCAAATCTGTGTAAAAAATCTGTTACAAATCTGTTCAAAAATTATGTCTGTATATCTGTCTACACCCAAATGTGTGGAAAAATCTGTCTTCAAAAGTGTGTGAGAAAAACATGCCTTCGAATCTTTCTTGAAAAACTAGTGTGAAAAAAATATGTTCTAAAAATTGTGTGAAAAACCAGTGTTGAAAAAATCTGTCTTCAAAACCCTGTCTGGAAAAATCTGTGTTCAAAAACCTGTGTGCAAAAATGTCTTAAAATCTGTCTTCAACAACCTGTGTGAAAAATAGATAAACAGAATCTGTGTTGAAAATGTGTCCAAATCTGCCAACCTGTGTTCAAATACACAAGAATGTATGTTCAAATACACAAGAATGTATTTCAACAATCTGTGAAGCACCTGTGTTCAAATACACAAATCTGTGAAGCACCAGACAAACAGAATCTATGTTCCAAATCAGTACAAAATCAGTCCAAATATGTGAAGAAATTCTGTTCATAATATGTGTTAACAAGCTGTCCAAATCTGTGAAGCACCTGTGTTCAAATAGACAAATACATAAACAGAATCTGTGTTGAAAATCTGTCCAAAATCAGCCCAAAATCTGTCCAAATCTATCAATAATCTATGTTCAACCAGACAAACAGAATCTACGTTCTAAATCAGTCCAAAATCTGTCCAAACTCAGTCCAAAATCAGCCTAAAATCTGTCCAAAATCAATCCAAATATGTTCATAATATGTGTTCAAACAAACAAACAAATAACTTTCAAGCTTCCAATCAGATAACAAACAATCCACATGATTACATATTCATACTTCTCAACCCATAATTGTAATATATCATAAATCTTCATACATATCATCTTTATAATTAACACAACACTAATTACATGTTCTAACTTGTATAAAAATTATTACATCTTCATAATTAATAAAACACTAATTACAAGCAAGATGAAGATCCCATTAATACAACACGAATTTCTATTTATGTCTCTTTGCAATTTTTGCATCTGCGCGTTCTGAAATTGATGTTGTTCGCTTTGAAATCGAAGATGTTCGCCCATACTTTGAAGTTGTTCGGTGACAGTTGGTGTATTGTCCATTCGCACTTGTCCTTCCTCCCTACATTGTGAATTTGTAGGCAAGCACCATGCAATAAACCCACTGCAATCAGGACAACAATAAAATAGCTTATTCTTGTTTCGTTCCGTCTCCGAAATTAGAATGATTGCTTTTTTCCGACATTGAGGACAATTTCTGTTGCAATACGTCAATTGATCCGAGGTACTACCGTTAACACTTGAAGTTGACATCTACAAAAATATGAAGTGAAATCTGAAGTTGACATTATCACCTATAAATGTAACATCAATTGCCATATATGCTTAATTGTATAATCAAACTCATATATTGCTCATTGGGCTGGCATTTATATGCAAAAGAATCCAGTGAGTGAACAGGGTGGCAACACCATTCATGCTTGTTGAAATCACTAGGTTAAATGTTTTGTGAAGTTATTGATACAAAAATGTGTCATCAGATGGTTTACATTCTCACAACGAATAACTTATAATTTCTTCATATTTGCACCTATTTTGGTTTGTTAGTTCGTGATGAATTGGTCTTTCTCTGGTAGTTTCTACCACAAAAGAGTACAACAGTTTTGATAGCTTTGAATTCTACTTGTACATATCTAATTCATATTATTCCTTATAGACAATTCAACTTTCAGTTGGGGACTAGGTGTTGGAATCATGTGTATGATGTCTGCTGGGAAGGTTGAAATCAGTACGATGTCTACTAGAATAAGATATAAAACTGAAATTTTACAAATGCCTTCTATATCAGTGGCAGAGAATGTTTCGAAGCTGCATAATTTAAACATGTGGCCGAGAATGTTTAACAAGTTTCTTGGTTGTGTTCTTGTCCTTTTCCAGATTGCGTTCTCTTATTTAACTAGTTTAGTAGTTATGAACAGAAAAACAATACTTAGATGAAAGGGCCAAAGGGTTAGTGTTATTGGCCTTCCTCTATATGCATATATTGGTTCATAAATATCTATATTTAGTGTGCTTTTTACTCTATTTTTTGAAGAAAAAAAAAATTGAAGTGGGTAAAGAAGTCTGTTGCTAAGGTTTTGGTTTATAGAAACCTATATTTGGTGTGTATATTACTGTCTTTTTTTTTTTTTAGAAAATTAAAGTGGGTAGGTAAAGTCTGTACAAAGTTTGGATAAAATTATTCCCACAAAAAATGAGCTTTGGATGGTTGAACAATATTGGTGCGAAGTTTTACCTACGTAAATGGTAATTAAATTAAATATTAAAACAAAATGACTTGGAGGAGGATATGGATTATTGCCCAAAATCAGTTAACCCAAAAACTCAAATTTCTATGTGTTGGCATTTGGTACTAGGTTAGGATTATAGTTGGATAATGATTCAGTTCTTTTATATCTGTTCGTCTTTTTCTTTTTTAATAAAAATTAATTCATACTCTAGCCTAGTTTAAGGAAAGAGAACGTAGGGATTGAACCCAGTTATATGAGCCAGAGCATCAAAGGGTACAAGTCAATAACCAAATACAAAATAACTCAGTGTCCACAAAAAACATGATGAAAGAAATATCTGGCAGTGGCTTTGAAGGATGATTAAGCATTTTTATATATTCTCCACCAAATATATATAGATTTTTTTGGCAAATCCAATTTGAAGTTGGATGCTTAAAAATGAATGTCATGTTTTAATAGAGGAAGGCTATTCCTACCTTTTCTCTTCCTCTGATCCCATCAAATTCAGATGGCCTGGTGGGTTTGTGTCTTCTCTTTGATTCACAAATTATGTACTAGTCTTAAGCCAAAAAGTGGAATTTCCACTTTTTGGAATGGATTGGAATGGGAAGACAATTCCTAATTACCTACTCAAGCTGAAATCACTTTCGAAACTAATCAAAAATCTGATCCCCATACTCCTATGGTAATCTCACATTTCTGGAGGAATATAAAACCATTTAAGAGTGAAAAATTCCTAACTAAATCAATATTTAAAATTCCTAACTAAACACATTTCTGGGGCAATATTTAAAATTTTTCCATTTTCCCAAAAGAGAATTCCTAGCCAAATCAAGCGTTTGATTAAGCATTTTTATATATTCTCCACCATATATATATAGATTTTTTAGGGAAATCCAATGTAATGTAAAATTGGGGCAAATCAAAATCAAAATCCTCCTAAACAGATGAAATCAAAGTCAAAGGCACACAAATCTCAACAAATCAAGGCATATATATAGGTATATATATATATAGAGAGAGAGAGAGAACTGACCTGTGCAGACAGATCTGTCGAGAAAACGGAGAGAAGCTGTGCTCGTCGTGAGTGAAAGATGATGACGGAGAGAAGCTGCGCTCGTCGGGTCGCCGGGGTTGTAGAAGCTGCATTTAACCTCGATCATTGCCGAGTTGGAGAGCTTGTTGGGGTCGCCGGTGTTGGAGAGATGCGATTGTTAGGAGAGAGGAACAACAGAGGCGAAGTTCAGAGAAGAGAAGTTCAGAATAGGAAGAGAGAGAGCCTCAAATGTATTGTCAAAACGAATTTGAAATTTGAAATGAATGAGAAGAGAGAGAAACGGGCGAGTTTGCACCACATTACCACGTTGGCAGCCACGTCATTAGTGTCGATTTAGTGGTGAACTTTTAGTGATCGGAAGCATTTTTGTAATAATTAATATGTTTATTGTTGAATTCATGCACGAGCAAGATTTCCAGATGAGACCCACCAAGCATTTTCATTACAAAATTTGTTTGGCTTTGGAAAAGTGAAGGCCTGGCCCCGCATCCATTCCACCAAATGCAAAAATGAAATAAATTGCGTCATTGGAGCGCCATCAGGTGGGTCAAGCTGTGCACGGTAAGTGGTTAACATGAAGGTTAAAAAACATTTTGAGAAAATTGAAGATTTGTGCAGCCGTGAAGTGCAGGCTTGGAAGCAAGTGATAAAACTTGACCGAACTATCATGAAACTTGACGACAAATCAAGCTTAAATGAAGTTACGCAAGAATGAAGTAATCCCAATCAGGTTGCAACCGATAGAATTAAGGGACAATTGAGAGGGAAAAATCTAATGAGCAGAATGGCTGAGCTATGTAGGTGCTCGGTCGAGAAGTGCGGGCCAAGCTATGTGTGCAATTGAGGGGAATTCAAACCAAACAAAGGATCAGACTACATATGAAATGGGCCGACTTAAGGATAGTCCAAGCTAATGACACCATCCTCTGTATGAATCGATCAATATTTAGCCAAGCCACGGTTGACGGGTTGGACAACTCGGAGTCGAGCCGATAAGTTGGTAAACTGCCTTGTGTCGGGTTATTGGTAGCACGGCAGGAGCCGCTACGTGGCCCAATTGGAGTGCAAGGAGAAAAACCCGCCAGTAGTACGCGTGAATACCGTTTGGCTGCTTTGGCCAATGTTGTTTAGCAGTATTGATGCGCACACGAGTAAAAAATAGAGAGGGCAGTACATCCGTGCGTCCATAGAAAGACGAGCAAAGTGATGCGCGCAAAAGCTATATAAACGGTGCTGTGCCTAAATGCACAGGTCTGGAACTTCTGGTTATCAGAGCTTCCTATCTTTTTGTCTCCTTTTTCTCTTTCTTCCTCTTTGTGTGCTAACTTGATCGTCAGAGGGGTTTGCCCGCTGCACACAGTCGGGCAGCTCACTGTCTTTGCGTTCTCAGGTTATTTGGAAAGAAGCAAAGCTTGGACACAAGGAGTACGAAAGGTGACGAATATTTCCTCCTCGTACA